TTAAATATCAGGTAACCTGGTCAAGAAATTCAGTCAAATAAAAAGTAAGCACCTGAGAAAGACGCCCAGCATTCAAAGCCTCATGAAATCTTGACTGCAGTAACTCAAAAACAGCATTTACTTCCTTCTCAGGGACAGCAAAGCAAACTGAATGCTCACTACTAGCCTGCAGTGAACCATCACTAAGAACGTTAAGCATAAAAAATGTTCTACTGTTTCAACATCTCATGAACCTGAATACAGAAGATGAGATAACCTGAGATATCATAATAACATTAGCCCCAACATCTTTTACGGCACTAAATATAGTACTGGCTGTACCAGGAACACCAGCCATTCCAGTTCTGGGAGAACAAAAGGAGAATATTAAAAATTGTAGATCTTTAAAATCAAATGCAGCTGCAATCGCTATAATGCACAGCTCACCCTTCAACATTTACAAGGGCCAAGTTGTCTATTGTTGCAAACCCCTTGACAAACGATTCCAAACCCTGGCCCTCTTCATCCTCAGTAGAGCGACAAATTTTTGTTCCAGGTGCAGCAAGGTTGAAAATGTTCCTTATTATAATAGGAATGTCGTATCGCATCACTGGGATGATGGTGCGTGGATGCAGAACATTTGCCCCGAAATAAGACTGCACATACACGTATATATTATGTTTAAATTTGTGAATACGCCAATCTCAGGAACTTAAGTAGTGAGTAATGAGGTTTACCATTTCCCAGGCCTCTTGATAAGACAATGTCTTCAGAATCACTGCCTCACTAACTGCACATGAACATTTCTTATTGTTGAATTAAATCCCACAGTAACATCTTAACATTCTTAAAAGGCATCAACCAATTATTCTCACAAAATAAAGCAAAAATATGTACTCTTGTATTCCTAAAGATAGTGGTTGTACCATAACTGACCAAGCAAGATAAGACTGATCCAAGGCTACAGATAAGGAGCAAGCGCCGAACTGGTGACCTTGACCAGGCCGACTCTCCATTCGGCACCCACCACTTTGGGTCCACTGGACCCATGTGCCGAAAAGAGGTCAGGGCTCACTGTACAGAATCAGTACACAGGAGGTACCACATGGCAGTCATCCACCACACGCTGATCAGCATGTTTGAGCAGGCTGAATGACCCTCAGCCCCAGACACCTCATGCTAGCCAAGACTAGGTGTCAAACGACACTTATCTCTTTGTGCCAACTAGACAGTCTGTACAGACTCAATTAAACAATGTGCCAAACGGTACCCCCAAAGGAAAGTCATTCGGTACGTTGGCATAACCACATGGGCAGGAGCCATGCTTCCTCCAGTTCACCTATGGGAGGCACCTTTCCGTCACCACCATGGACGTTGATGTTCCGGGACACGTGTCACCACCACACGCCGTCTCCCACATCAAAGTATTATAAGAGGATCTCCTGACTTCTCTATAAATAGGGGCATGCGCCCCCCAAGAAAAGGTATGAACACCATCATACATACCCTTACTCTGCCAAATTAAGCATCAGAGGTTTCTATGATGTCACACAGGTACCTTTGTCCCTCACTGACTATTCTTTCTTAACAGGTACCCATCTAAATTCGGTAGAAGGGCAACATAGGTCGCTCACAACTTCTATTGATCCATTTTGGACAAGCATGTATTATTTAAAATGGCTGATATGTGACATGTTTTACCAAGTACAAGAGCTATACGAACCTTTTCTGGGGTCTGCACTATAAACTCCATCAACATCTGTCCAAATTGTGACTTGACCAGCCTTGAATAGAGCACCCATGATAGCTGCGGAGAAGTCACTTCCATCTCTCTTCAAAGTAGTAGGAATGTTTTGAGGTGTGCTAGCAATAAAACCAGTAGCTACAATTGCTTTTGATGGATTTTTGGAGTACCATTTCTCAAGTCTCTCTTCAGATTCCTTGAAATCAGGATCCACTTGATTAGAACTAGTAGGGTTCACAATAAGGACTTCCCTTGTATCCATCCAATTGCAATCTACCCCATTCTGAAGAAGGAAAAAAAAAAGAATAAGAAAATATATTAATATAACAGACAACTAGGAAAAACAACATTCAGCAAATGCTCTTGAAAAGTAAGCAAACCACCACCAGACCTTTCTAACAACACATGACAACATCTGAGCAGACCATAACTCTCCATGTCCTACAACAAAATCAGTGAAGGATTCTGTTGCATGACCAGCTGCCATAAGTAAGTATATTAGTCAATCTGATAAGATCCAATCATAAAGTTTAATCAAAATTAGCCAAAGACATCAATAAAACTAACAAGTACATTCAAATTAAGTGTCATAATAATTTGACTAGACAAAGAACATAGTTTCCATAACATACAAATTGAGGATGTTGGCTAAGTTGGAAAAAGGTAAGTGATTTAATCCTAGGCGCTAATCAAATTACAAACTACTGAAGATTCAGATAAAAGAATTAGTCTTTCCCTGACAGAGAACACTGGCTGATATAGTTTGTAATATAAACACATACACAATAGTAAATACAAACCATTTGAAATATGATGGGAATTGTTAAAGCACACACCATATTTGCTTTATCTGATAAGCCATTGGAGAGTCTATACAGATCAGAGATCCACTAATGTTCTGATGTTTTGTGGAAAATAATAAATGAACCAAGAATGTCCACATAACATTCCAGGTACAACTTGAGAACGACAGTGTGTGAGGGAGAGAAGTCTAGTACCAATGTATATTGCACGAAGCATTGCTTTCAGGTTACTGATGTCATGTTGCAATTGTGCTAAGAAGCTACAGAGATCATCCCCATCAATTAAATCAAGAGCTGTTGATCTGTGCTTTTCTAAAACGGCATCTAATGCAGATATATAGGACTCATCTCCTGATTGAGCCTTGTTGATGAGATCATACATCATATCTGTTACCTTGGACATTGCAGAGACAACTACAAACTTCCTCTCCGAATCATCACTGAGAATTATTTTTGCAACATTCTTAATTCTTTCTGAATTTCCCATACAGGTACCACCAAATTTATGAACAGACCAAGTATCACCTTTAGGAAGCTGAACTTTTTCAGGGGATGTATTTACAGGAGTATCTACTATTAAAGGAAAGAAAATTAGAGTTGGATGAAACTTATACATACAAGATCCTGAGGAAAACTTTGGACAATTATGGAAAAGCATAGAAAATGAACCTGTGACTGATGAAATGATCCGGGTTTTTAGTGTCTTTTTCCTTCCTAGCCCAGAAACAAAACCCATCCTGAAAAAGACAACAGACATCCGCATAAATTAATGAATAATTTAAGTTAATCTTAAGTATTCCGCTAGTCAAATAAACCCTACAACACTAATATTTGGAAGTGAAAAAGGTGGATTCAAAATATTTATATAATAAAAAAATACTTTTTAATTGTGCAATAAGAAGTAAATTTGTTCCAGCAATGCAAAAACTATTATAGCAAATAAAACATCAGTTCTAAGAGCACAAACTTACACTAAGAGCTTAAGAGAAACATGCTAAGGTTGAAAGTACCTACTTGGATCATGTTTGGTTATGATAAGTGATATAATTCCTAACTAGTCAAAACAGAAAGCAAGAATGTTTAAAGAAAAAATGTTTACTGAAAATGATAACAACATCAAGCAAGGAGCAAATTCAAAATAATTGAATAAACACAATGCTATCTCATACCAGAGCTCTTGCATGCATAATAATTAAATTAAGTAGAAAAACCAATACCAAAACAATAATTAGAACAAAGGAGAAAATTGCACCAATAGCTCTTGGACTTTTGGTACAATTCCAACACTTTAAAAAGCCCCATTTTCCGCTGTGCTTCACTTCTTAGTATACCATTTTTTCAAAAACTAAAAACAAATTATCCTTAAGCACGATATGAAACTTGAGGACAAGTTGAATATTTCCATCATTCCAGGTTAAGTTAAACATTTACTACTTAAGCCATAAGCTCCAGTCCAGTGAAATGGTAAAAAGAAATATCAGTATGAAAAAAGAGTTCCACTTTTTATACAGAAAGCTCTTCCATTTTCTCGAGAAACAAACAGAAAATGGAATCAAGAAAGAAAATTTAGTTGGGTATAAAACTGAGTACCTGCAAATAGGAGAGCGCTGAGGAGGGAGAAGGAATGTGGGGCATTGAGAGTAGCAGATCTTCTTGGGCTTGGCGTCATGACGCAATGCGTTGGGGGAGAGACTGTGGCCTGGATTAGAGATGGCTGAATGGAGCAACGCCATAGCCTCTCACAGTGACACAGAGAGTAGTTTGGTGGTGTGGGTGTGAGTATGAGTGCGAGTGCGAGTTTGGCGGCTTCTGCTAATATAATGTACTACTGAGCGGAGGCCATGAAAGTGAATGATTGGAAGGGGAAGGGATGCGGTGCGGCGTCTAAAACCGTGGGCCAGGGTGATGATCCATTCAAGCAGTGACACGTAGCAAGATGTAGGGGTCAGTATCAAACTTCGCCACGCGTGTCTGCCACTCCAGTATTGCAAATTGCATTCTTTGCTTAACCAGGGCACCGCATATATTTTGTTTCACCAGGTGAACTTGCTCCCTAGAGAACTGATGCAGATAGAATTCATGCATTGGACTCAATTGGAATGGAGGTGAGGTTTTATCATAAAATCTCGTGTTATTAGTAGTGAAACCATCACTCATTATATATCTCGATGCTATTTAGTAGTTAAACATATAATGTGATTCAATTTAAACACGTCTTGGTATTATTAATAATGAAACCAAAAATGTTGAAATTCAAACTCGTAAATTTCTTTGTTAGTGGTGAATCCATTTGGTAAACACGTTTCTTCCCTTTTGTTTTGAGGGTTTTTCTGCTTTTCTCGGTTTAATTAATTTGAGTGCCGATGATCAAGCTTATGAAAAATTTACCTTTTTTTTGGTAAAATGAAAAATTGACCTTGAAAAAACAAAAGGCTTATGAAAAACTTTTTTATTTATTATTATTTTATTTTTTTGAGAGTGATCTGAAAAACAAGTTATAAGGAAGCAGTGCCCAAACCACCAAAAGAAAACGCACAAGAAAAAAAGTATCGAACAGTCCTCGAAAGCTCATACGTGAAAAACCCTACCGCCGAAACCGGCAAGACCCCCTCACAGTCTCTGAGCTCCGACAATGGCGGAGCTCTCAGTGATAACAATAGGAGGCAAAGGCTCATCTCTCTCGTCCTCCTCTGTCTACGCCATTGCCAGTGGCCTCGCTCAGTTACGCATCGACTCGTCGGCGCTCAATAGGCTCCCCTCCTCCTCCTCATCACCTCTCAATACCCACAACCTCGTCTCTCTCCTACCCTCTCTCCCAACCGTTGAAGAATCCAGAGCTTCTCTCGTCGTCCTCCTCAGCAAGCTCCTCTCTCTCTCCGGTTCCCCCAATATCCGTACTGTTCTTCCAGTTAAAATCGCGGAAGCACTCAATTCCCCAGACTTAAAGCACGAATCCCTCGACTTGACTGACGAGGAGGCCCTTGTGTTGGAGAAACTCAAGTTATCCTCTGCTTTGTACGCAATATGTGCGCTTCTGGACCACCAGTCAGCTGCTTTGTCGACGGTTTCGGATGCAGTAGCGGCGATTACTTGCGAGGCATTGAAGGCCGACGTAGCGGCGTTCAATTTGATCGATTCAGGGGATGGGCACGCCGCGAAGGAGGAGATTGGGGTGGCCAGTGATTTGAAGGTGTTGCTCAACGGGTCTAAGTTAGTGGGTAAGGTTGAAATTGAAGCGATCTCGAGAATCCCCAAAATTCACGCGAGTTTGAGAGAGCAAGTGAAATCGGTGCACTCCAAGACTCGAGTGGAGCTGAATTCTGGTGGGAAGGTAGTTTGTGCCGGGGTAGTCAGGACCGCTTTGTTGCCATTGGCAGCGGCTCTGTGGGACTTGGGGGACCGTAGTTTGTCCCGTGCGAAAATGAATGTGGATGCGGTGGGGAGTGTGAATTCGAGGTCGAGTTTGGTAGCATTGTTTGAGCAGAAATGCCCAAGTGGTGAAAGCTTGAGAGGTGGGTTCAAGCTGGTTTCCCAATTAGTTTTTGAAGAGGAAGAGAATTATGATAATTTTGCTCATGAAGTGAATGCATTGATGGGAATTGTGTGGAAAATTGTGACTTGGGAGGCAATTACAGCGTTTATGGTGTTGGAGGGAGCTGAGTTGAATGGGAAGAAGAGTGAAGGTAGTGAAGTGAATGGAGGAGGGAATGTGAAAGTGGAGAAGAAGAGTGAGAAGAAGAAGAAGGTGGTTTTGGGAAAAGGAACTAGTGTTATATTAAAGTTGATAAAAGATAGGTTGCAGGGAAAGGGAGGAAATGCTGTTGATAGTTTGGGCTTGTTGGGAAATTGGGTTGAAGAGCTTATATCGTTTTTGGACCCCAAGGACCCAGAGTTTGATAGTTTGTTGAACAGAGTGAAGGAGTTGGTGGAAAGCAATGAGACTAGAAGACTCCCCAAGCTCCCAAAGGTAATGAATGCCTGGAGTTATGCTTTTCATTTCTGTCTGGAGTATTTTCTCCAATCCACCTTTTCATTGATTTGTAGGAGAATAAAATGAATGATTACTCTTCTTCATTTTTTTGTCCCTTTTTTTTGGGAAGCAGTGTTTTTCATGAAAATCATTTGGGTGCTTATTAGTATCTACCTCTTAATTTATTATTGTCTTAGGAAGGAAGATTTCTGTAGAAAACAATGTGCGTACTATGACTTGTAGTTAGATTCTGTAACATGTGATCATTTGGAAAGAATTGAAAATTTATACAGTTGTGCATATGTGTATTTTCAAAGACTATGCTCAGGTTTTTGTCTTAGTTGCCTTTGCAGATTATGTTAATTTATGTATTTTTTTTTTTTTTGGATTGTAATGAATGAACTTAATAGCATTCTGACTTGGACATATTTTGCACATACTAGGGGACTCGTGACTTTGCAAAAGAACAAATGGCAATAAGAAAGAAAGCATTTTCGATAATTGAAGAGGTCTTTGAGAGGCACGGTGCCACGGCATTGGATACTCCAGTTTTTGAATTGAGAGAAACTCTCATGGGGAAATATGGGGAAGATTCGAAATTGATTTATGATCTTGCTGACCAGGTAATTGCCTCATTTTCAACTTTTGGCAGTTTAAATGGACTATTTATTTTTATTTTTTGTAGTTATTTTATAGGTGTTGCTTGTCGGTCCTCATGTAATGTAGGGTGAAGAGGGAGTGGGCATACAAACATGAATCAATTTGATTCTTGGCATTTACACTAAAGTAGCCGAATGCCACACTTTTTGTACTTGGAATATCGATGTTAGGTGACCTTTTAGTGTTTCCTGAGATGTTAAATTATCACCTAATCCAGAATAGCAATCCTGGTTCCTAAGAGGTATTAAGACTGTCAAGTCCGAGGCTTTTTGCCTAGTTTTCGCTCATTATTGTTAACCATTGTTAATTACATTTTTTTGGCAAGTTTCATCAATTCTTTTCTGAATTCAGCTATGAAATACTACCTCGAATGCCTTCTAGATTATTCATTTTTTGTTTTGTGAGATTTGATTGTATGGTTTTCTTAAGAAATTGGCTATTGGGATGACCTTGTGTTGTTTGCATGTTGCAGGTAATTTTGTTTTATCCGCTTTAAATCTGACATAGGACACGGGTGAATTGTAGGCTTAAGTAGAGTAGTGGAAGCAAAACAATGAAAAACTGAAAATAGAACAAATAAGGATAGATAAGTCTGGAATCACTACAGGGGTTTGGCTTCACACCAAGAAGTCTCCAATCTCTGGAAAATAAACTTTCTTTATATCTCAACAACTCAACTCCCTAATGAATTACATGAGAGGGGTATTTATAGCAAACTAAAACCTAGAGACAATAGGATAAAAACCCCCTTGCTAAAACAGAAATTCTAACCTAAATAAAATAGGAAACTTAAAAATCCTACTGAAACCTGTAAAACTTAAAAATCTTACTAAAATCTGGAAAACTTAGAGAACAAGTTAGGAACTAATCGCAGGAATCAAAAATTGCCAGATTTAAAGACCAAATTAAATGACTTCCTCTTCCATCTCTTTCTTTTATAAACCCTAATGGGTTTGATGAAGATGTCCTCATCAAAATCTGTGATGAGTGTTTGTATTTTTAAACATGAAATCATCTTCTTTATATTGCGACCACTAAGTATTTTTTCATGTTTGAATTGTGGTATTCCCTGTCATGTGGTGTTAAATATTGTTTGTGAAGGTGTGTTAGACAGGCCTTGCTATTTCTTCTATTTATTCCTTATAAATACTTTTCTTTCTTGTTATAGCTTGACAATAGAACTGAATTAATCACTCATATCTAATGTAATTTGTGTCTATCCTGTCTACAGGGAGGAGAGCTTTTATCACTGCGATATGATCTAACCGTTCCATTTGCTAGATATGTAGCTATGAATGGTATCACTTCTTTCAAAAGGTACCAAATAGCAAAGGTGTACAGAAGAGACAATCCATCGAAAGGACGATATCGTGAATTTTACCAATGTGACTTTGATATTGCTGGTCAATATGAAAAAATGGGGCCAGATTTTGAGGTTATTAAGATTTTAACAGAACTTCTTGACGAGCTGGATATTGGAGATTATGAGGTAACTTTCTTTTCATTTTCCCCTCTATCTATGTCATTGCATACAAAGTCTTGTTAATTTGAATAATTATATTTATTATAGTACCACAGCTCCTCACTCATTAATTTTGACATGGAGTTATGCTTGGGACTTCCATTGGATGTCTCATTGCTATCAGATCTGGGTCACTATTTTAAACATTTAAAATTATTGTAAAGTTTTTTAGTTTGAAACATATTGGTGCATGATTCGTAATTGCATAGTAATGATATGAAGTTAATAAATACAACTATTCTGATAACAATAGGAAGAGATGAAGTAAAGATTCCTTCTCACTGTAATGATTCCTAATTGCTTCACATATAGAAACAAGATTCATTCTTTCTTTTTTTCTATACCCTTCAATCTTGACGTAGAGCAATATGGAAAGATGGATTTCAACCTAGTCTTGAGGTCTTCATCTTCTAAAAGAAGCCAATCTAGTCTTGTGATTTAAACCTCTCCATGAAGTGCTACACTACTTATATTCAGACCTTTGTGTGTCTTATCTCTCTGCCTTAAATCTAATTTTACAATTGTGTCTTAATGTTTATTGTACAGATTAAGTTGAACCACCGAAAGTTGTTGGATGGAATGTTGGAAATCTGCGGAGTACCTCCTGAAAAGTTTAGAACTATTTGTTCAACTATCGACAAGTTAGACAAGCAGTCTTTTGAGCAGATAAAAAAAGAAATGGTAAAGACTCAAAAATTGCGACCATATTTCACGTGCGTATGCTTGAGTTGCAATTCTGTATCTTGGTTTATGTGTTTTTATGTTTTGCATATGCTTGCTTTGAGTTACATTTCATGTCTTGGTGTCTCTGTTTCCTTGTTTCGTCTTTGTTGTTAATTCAGTATGAAATACTTAATGGAACATTAATTACAGCATAAGATTGTTTTTATGAAGTACTTACCTGGCTGACCCCAAGTAGTTGGGAGGAAGGCTTGATGTTCCACATCTATAACTCAATAGAGCAATAATTGCTACATAAGAATTTTACAACTAGAGGAAGGCTTTGTGCACACAAAACACCATAATTGTTGTCATCTGTCTGCTTCTTGACAAGGAACGCCTGTCTACTTGGGCAGTTCACATGGCTAGTATAGCATATTGGCCAATAAATTGTTTAAGCCTCACACCTTGAGGTAAAGCTTTTGGTCCTGTACCTGCCAACCCAAAATTCTTACTGTTAATTAATTGTTGCCTCTGGAACACGTTGTGTTGATTTTAATAACCATGTTCTGAGTTCCAAATGACTGAAAGGTATAACATTCGTCAATGAAAATAATGAATAAACCATGTTCTTTCAAGTAAATGCGAATAAAAAATTTGTCAATAAAAATGTATCTGCTGAATTGAATTTTCATTAACATAAGAACCGATCTCATTTGATTTTCTGTTTATTTTTCTATTGAATAAGCATATGGCTTTTATTTTTGTCCAAAAAAATAAGCATATGCTTGGTTTATCATTTTGTTGTGCTTTTCTCCATGATCATTGGGTAAACATTTTCATTTCTATTTTTTATTGGTTTATCATTTTGTTGTGCTTTTCTCCATAATCATTGGGTAAACATTTTCATATGATGATTGAGTTGTTTCCTCATATCTAAATCTAGTGAGGGTTTAATATTTATCATATTTGCATTTTTAGGTGGAAGAGAAGGGCCTAAGTGTTGAGACAGCAGACAAAATTGGTACCTTTGTAAAAGAGCGTGGACATCCGTTGGAATTGTTATTTAAGCTTAAACAGGAGGGCAGCTCATTTTTAGAAAACAATGCATCTATAGATGCATTGAATGACCTGGAGATCTTATTCAAGGCTTTGGAAAAATCAAAGTGTATCGGAAAAGTGGCTTTTGACTTGAGTCTTGCAAGGGGTCTTGATTATTATACGGGAGTAATATATGAAGCTGTTTTTAAGGGGGGTGCACAGGTAAAATTATTTAAATGCTGTTGTGATTTCCTCTGCTTTCATTTTGCATGCTATTACTGTTTCTATAACCTGTCTTATGTGCCCTCTCTAATCATGCCCTCTGACATTTGCTGTCGTTTCCTAAAAACTTCAATTCAGATGAGTGGTGCAAGTAATAATGAATGGCGTATTGTTATTGCTTCCTCTCATTAACTTATGTGTTTCAAGGTTAATCTATAGATATTTGATCTTGTCATCAGGTTGGTTCAATTGGTGGTGGTGGACGCTATGACAACCTTATAGGGATGTTCGGTACAAAGCAGGTTCCAGCTGTTGGTATCAGCCTTGGAATTGAGCGAGTTTTTAATATAATGGAGCAGAAAGGCCAGAATCAGGTAACTTTCACGTGCTTCTGTGTGTATGTTGATTAATAGTCTACTTATATTTTGGGTGAATTGTATTGTTGGGTTATATTCCGATTGGTAGTGATAGCTCTTCAAATCCTTGTTCTCCCAACTGGGTAACTAATAAAAGATACTTTTATGAATTTAAATTCATTAGTTATACATTTTTTAGGTTAATTTACACTATGCTCCTGTACTTTTATCTGTATCTCAGTTTAGTCCTTAAACTTTAAATTGCTTCATTTTGGTAACTGAATATGGGTTAGTTGATCTAAATCAGAACTTCTCTTAATGAATTTAACAAAAGTAATCATGTGACTTGCACATGACTGCATACTAGAGGATAATTTCTTCATTCCTTATTTTATTTGTCATTTGTTATCAGGTATATTCTATTTGTCATCTGTTGCTATGTATCTATATTTGTGGCTTGCATTAGCTTCGACGTAACTGTAAAATATAGAAACTTGAAGATTTTTTTTTCTTTTTTGGGAAAAGCATTGAAGCCTGTTATTCAATTGTATTATTATTTTTGTATATTAATTTCTCAAACCACATAACTTAATGGCTAGCTACATGTGAGATTTAAGAAGTATAATAATGTCAAGAAAAAATTTCAATACTTATTTGGAGAGCCACTTATGTATAGCCATACGGTTAGACTTGCTCTTGGTGCATGGCAAATTTTTCCTTGCCCTAGTGTAGCACATACACGTTTATTTGTTTTAGCATGCTTGTATTGTATGAGACATTGATCTGTTCTTTCATATTTTATTTATTATTATTATTATACAGACAACCCGAGCAACCAAGACTGAAGTCCTAGTGAGTGTATTGGGGGATGATTTAACGCAAGCAGCTGAGTTAGCAAGTGAGCTGTGGGCTGCAAAAGTGAAAGCAGAATACTTGGTCAATAAAAGAGTGTCAAAGCACTTTGATCGAGCCAAGGAATCTAGGATCCCTTGGATGATAATCGTAGGTGAACGGGAGCTGAACGAAGGGGTTGTGAGATTAAAGGATATTGAGGCTGCTGAGGAAAGCATAATTCCAAGAAGTAGAATTGTGCAAGAACTTCAAAAACGGTTGAGTTCATGATAATAATATATTTTGTGGAGGCAAAGAAAAGAAGAACAAATCTCAAGCCAGATTCCCTTATCTTTCATTTTTCTTTGTTTACATGTGCCTTTCTGGGCATGTTAAGGCGCTCAAAACAGGTATTACACACATTGATTTCAGATTCATCTCACATGTAATTCTGGTATTGTAATGTTTTGAAACAAGCAAATCCTATGATGAGTATTTTGACAAATTTTCGTTCAAGTTATGAGTTATTTTGATCTCTATGTGCGTGGATTCTAGGGTTTTAAGAGCATCCGCGATCATGTTTTCTATTTTTTAGTTAAATTTTAGCTAAAACCATATAAATGTTATTTTAGGAGCTCTCTATAAAATTTAAACTCTAATCATGTTCTCTAGTTTAAGGAGTCATAAATGCTATAATTCTTTTTTAATTGGTTCATCTCTATTAAAAAATAATATAAAAATAATAAACATTAATCAAATGTTTGAAATACTCATTAAATAAAGCAGCATTAAATTATAGGGAGAGTTTTTTCTCTCTCCTCAAATTTAAGAGCTCCTAGAGGTCTCCATATTTTAGGAGGTGGATAGGTAGCATGGTTGGAGTTGTATTTTTCCAAATCCTCTTTAAATTTTGTCTAATGAGGTGGTTTAGAGAGCCCATTGTTGTAGATGCTCTAAGTCTAAGAGCATCTCCACCATTGTGACTTTAGCCAGGGCAAGAGGCCCATTCCCTAGGTTTTGGACCTCCAGCGCAGCACCTGCAGCTCGGGCAAGCCCAAGGGCAGATCTTGCCTGGGCTTCAGCCCGAGGGCGCTGACGTCAGTGAGTGAGTAAAAAAAAATTCAAAAAAATTGCAATTTTTAAAATTTAAAAAAAAAAACCAAAAAATTATGGATGTTTTTCCCTATAAATACATAACAAGTTTATATTTTGTTGCATATTCGTGTTTTTTTTCTTGCCCTTACCCTAGCCTTTTGGGGTGGAACCAAAAAAGGTAAGGCTGCCACTATTCACGTGAATAGTAGCAGTCCTTGCCTTGCCTTTGCCTTTGCCTTAGCCTTTTGGGGTGGACATGCTCTAATGGTCCCTGAAATTTAATCTTATTTGCATTTTGGTTCTTCAATTTTCAAAATGATTCCCGTGGTCCTTCATCTGCACTTTCGTTAGGACAAATGGTCTTACCGTCAATTTTGTTATCTTTTATTTTAAATGCAGGGGTAAAATGATATTTTTTGCATTATTTTTAATTTCCACCCTCTAAATATTCATATCACTCAAAAAATAAAAATAAAAACCAAAAAACCTTCTTCCGACACAACCTCTCCAACCCAACACCAACTGGACACACACAACCCACAACCACCACCAAGCCTTCCTCACCCTCACCGTCCCACCCAGTCCCAACCCCTCTTTCCCCATGATGAAATATTCAAATGTTTTTTTTTTCGATATTTTTTTTTCATGCCCAAAATTGAGGTTATGAAATAGAATGAGGGGCATAAGCTATCTCATGGAGGATGGGTATGGTTTGGGTGAGGTTGTGGGAGTGTCATCAGTTGTTGCCGGGGTGATGGGTTAATTGGCTTGGTGTCGGATGGAGGTTGTACATGGCTTTGTTGGATTGAAGGAAGGGAGATATATCATTTCTCGATTGGTGGTGGATTTTAATGGGCTTGAGTTTAGTTGGAGATATATCATTTCTCGATAAGTGGTGGTTTTGATAGGTACATTATTTATGGGATATGTAATTTAGGAATTATTTTTTTGGGTTCAAATTTTTTTAGAAATTGCCGATGGGTGTTAGAGGGAGTAGGATTTGCAATTGGGGTTGCCCACACTACAACCAAAACCATCTTTATCTTTGAATTGTTCTCTCTTTCTTTCTTCTCCTTTTTGACCACTCCACCATGCATGAGGGAATACAAGGGGCTGGATACTGATAAATTCTATGCCATGGGCTCTTATTAGACCAAATGCTTTCAACATAATAATTTCTCTCATGACTGTCTATGGCCGCATTTGGCTATGATGCATCATGATTCATGTTACCAAAAATCAACCCCAACTATCTTACCATCGGTGCTTTAGGGTTAATACATTAATACGTCTCTGTCTAACTAGAACGCAGAGCTGTGGATACATAGGGATGGGAATAAAAATTGGGCTAGTGCCTTCATGTTAACTTCAAATGTTGTGATGTGTATAGCTGCTCGGCTATACTTTTAAAATATTCGAAAATATTTAAAGAGTAGCTACGTGTCTATACTTTTAAAATATTCATATAGATTATATTGTTTAACTAAGAGTAATTAAGTCTAGCAATTAGGAAATGCCTTAAACCATACAAAGATATGAATTAGAAAGAAAAAAAAATGTTACCCATAATCATAAATTAAAAAATGGCATAAGTCCATAGACAATAACTCCACGTAAGAGGAGATATCCAGAAGACTAAGAAAAGGGCGATAATCTCATCAATGACATATTTTGCCTGTATAATTATATGAATCTTTCGCGTTTATGGTGATTATAAATTTGAATACCATTCACAAATGTTACATTGTACCATGTGTTTCTACATATACATAGGACTTCGAATGCACAGGTGAATACTCTTAATCACTTGAGTCTTGAGCTACATGTCCCATGCTAAACTACTCAATTGGTCTTAAGAAATGATTCATCCACTCATCATTAATACTAGTAATACCACCCAATTAAGTTAGGCGCAGTCCTCCTCAAAGTCAATCCACAACAACAATAGGTTGGGTTGGGTTGGGTGTAGAAGATAATGCGAGCAGTGAAATAAGCACATACACACTTATGTATAAATTCATGGAACCACGAGTCTACTATGTTAAATTTACGGTTAACTCCTTCAACTACTGTGTTAAATTTACCACCCAAAAGCTCATCTCCTACAACCTGAGTCCCTTGAGCAAATTGAGAAAAGCAAGCTCTTCTCCCTCGACATATTGGGTTGTTGCTAGAGTAGTCGACTGGTTCAATAACTGCACATTAACTTTGATGTACAGCTCGCTGCCTACCATATGTATAAATATAATGTGGATGTCGGTAGCAATGGCATTGTGATGGACGGGTTTGACAGAAAATATGAAAAAGAGAAAGAAAGACTCCTTTTTCCCACCCAAATCCCAACCGCCCACACGGCTCACCCCATCCATCAAACAAGTCGGCGGATCCATTAATCTCGCCCAAATTAAAGTAAAAGAATAAAAGTATCAATTTATTTATTTATTTATTTATTATGTGATGCGAGACTGCGAGTGACTAACTACCACAGAATCATCATATTCACAAGTTTCTCAAATTGTGACTGGTCTGTTTCAGAAACTTTCCAACAGGCGCCGTGAGTTTAGCAAAGCCCATCCTCAACTGATCTGCAGACAGCATTCTCTTCATTTCAAACTCCGTGTGTTGGGTTGTCTTGTTGCGTACCCCTTCCTTTCTTCCAACCTCAAATTCTCCCTCCCCCCGTCAAGAAAAGGACATCTCAAAATTCTCATCAATGCTTGTTTTCCTTCCACCTTTCCCCCCCAATGCTGGCTCTAGCAAAATTCCTCCACTACTCATCTCACTTTAACTAATGACGTGGCACAAGCCCATTTGACAAAAGTCCAACAAGTGCATAAAATTACAAACCTGACCTCTTGCGACCTTTATCTTTTATGTTATCCCCATTCTTCAGCACCACAGGTGGCCCAGTTTGCGCTAGGGTAGAGGCCTCGTCACCCATAACACTCTGCAGAGATTATCAAATACAGAGTGGTTTTGGGAAATACAGGTGGCTTTCATTACAAAACAGGAGCCATCAACAAAAACGGTTCCTTTATTTTCGTGTCTTTACCAATAAAACCGTTCTCTGTTTTGAGCTGAGCTCTCACCCTCCAATTCCGAAACCCATCAATCGATCCCAACCATGGAAGGGGGAGATATCGGTGACTGGGAGATGCTCCACGACTCGGACCCTCCCCTGGTCAACTCAAATGACTCGGTTGAAAGCCCTAGTAACTTCGAAGGAATTGATGTTGACGCCGAGGGTATGATCAGGCCTGATTACTTCTCTTTGGATAATCAGGGCAAGTATGGGTATGCTAAGGATGTGGCTGATGTCAGCGAAGAGGGTTCGGTTGAGTCCGACAACCCGAGCTGGATTGACCCGGGTCCGGTGACTCGCTACGGGGCAAAAGAACCGGGTGGGTTCTGGTCCGATTCGGGCAGTGATCGGTCCGATGACCGTAAAAGCAATTATCTTGAGGTGAAAAACGAATTGGGTTTTGCGGGTAATGACAAAAGCCAAGTTGGTTTTGGAGGGATTGTAGAAATGGAGTATACCGATGAGAAATTGGGAAAATTCGGGTCTGACGAGGGCAAACTTAGTGGGTTGGATGTGGAAGGCCAACTGAGCTTTGAAGAAATTGGGGAAAACACAAGGGTTGAGAAGGAAAGTGAGATGGGTTTTAGTGGATTGGATGGTGGAAATGACATGGATAAGAAACCAGAAGATGGACAATCAGTTGGGAGCCAAAGTGCCGCACCTGAAGTGAAACCTGAGGCAAAATCGGGTGCCGAGGTGGTGAAGAGGACAATCTTGTGGTGGAAGGTTCCATTTGAGGTCTTGAAGTATTGTGTTTTTAGGGTGAGCCCTGTTTGGTCCTTTTCTGTGGCCGCAGCAGTGATGGGGTTAGTTATCTTGGGGCGGCGATTGTATAAGATGAAGAGAAAGAGCCAGAACTTGCAGCTCAAGGTTACTCTGGATGATAAGGTCAGTTATTGTAATTTTTATTATTTTCTTTTATCTGAGTTAATGATCATTAGTCTTCACTGCGTGTTATGGGAAAGCTAAAATATGACTGCATTCAGGGTGTGAAAGTAGGACTAAATAGTGTATATTATAAGGCTTTTTTGTACTTCAGTTTTCTTTTGGTGTGAAGAAAGCTTTTGCATTTGTTCATTTGTTCGAGTTTCTTTCTCATTTGAAATGGCTAAAGTTATCTTTTGGTCCGAAGAAAATTTTGCATTTGTTCATTCATTTGTGTTTCTTATTTATTTGAAATGTCTAAAGTTGCACTTTCCAATCTTTATTACTTTTCTTATAGATAAAAAATCACAAGAATCATTTGGGAGTACTTTTTTCTTACACTGTTTGGTTTGTGTTTGACATTTTCTAGTGCAAAGGAATGTAGAGATTTGGTTTTATTCACCTTCCTCTGTTAATTTATTGTATTCTGCAATATTGTTAAAATTATTTGGGATTATGCTATTATGTTTGGTTACAAGTATTACATTTTTCCTTTCTTGAAATTTTTTTTTTTTTTTTTTTGGGGATAAGAAGCAGAGGATATTTAGTATTATAAAAAAGTGAAAGTTACAATAGAATTGAACAAGTAGTGAAAGTTACACAGACTTCAACATTCAGATACTTGCAATGGAAGCATTAGTAGAAGGTGAGAAGTTCTTGTCCTCCAAAAACTAAATTCCTGTTCCATTCCCCACAATAAAACATAGATTAGAAGAAAAAGAACCAATACCCTGCAAAATGACTTTCCAAGGACCTCTGTGGAAGCCACTATCAACTCATTTGAATTAAACCCATTGGCTTGAACCTCTATCCACTACTCTTATGCTCTCCCCTTTTGAGAGAATGCTCATTTATCTGCAGTTTTGTTTGTTTCGGAATCTTCACTTACGATTAGCTGAGATAGGTACATGTCTATGAGGGGACGAAACCTATTTCTAGACACTTACCTGTATCAATTTTGAAATTTTATTTATACCGATTCTTTATTTTCCTGGCTGCATTGAAGTGGAAAGAAACTTTGGGCTTAGAGAGTAATCAATATAATTCAATTTTTTGAACATGTATGGACTGAGTGAACAAACTAATGGCTTTAGATGAACATGTAAAGGGCTTGCTTAATATAGGCCAGTTAAGAAAGCTCTGGGTGAAAAAGTAAAACTTAAAACAAAATATACTGTCAACGAAGTATATCAATTATATTCTATACTTTCAAATTAGCAAAGGGTCACATGTTACCTTTTAATGGTTATTTGTTTTCCTGTTTCATAATTTCAAGAAACCATGGATCTGAAGATAGTTGCAATAGAATAAACCATAATGGACAGATAAGGTCTTTTAGACCTTGTTTATTTCCTTTTGCAAGAAAGGGCATATTCATTTGGTAAAAAATTTCCCTGGAGTTCCTGGAATTTATACTGAGTGAATATTTTTTCAGCATTATCAGTGATCACAATTAAGGTAGTCAGAGTAGTTGATTATATGTTGCGTGAGATTTATAACGCCTTTGCAAAGTACTAGTGGATATTTCCTGTTTTGGCCTTGTAGCCTGTAGAGTTAATTTGTTTTCCTTATGTTCTTGTTGAATTTACATTGGAGTAAAAGAGCGTAGAAATCCATGATACTGTGATAATAAGTCTCATGAAATGGTTTGCTTTTGCTTATTTTTCAAATTATTTTGTGCTGGGGCATGCGCTCTATCTAGCTCTAGCCATATTTGGTTGGGGTGGGAAAATGGTGGAACCTATGTTAGTTGTAAGCAAAAGGCTTTTATGGTAGGATTCTATTTACTTGTACTTTGTTATATGAGTTATGTGGCTTTACAAATGGGAACTTTGCTTCTCTGTTTTGACGTATATGTTGAGGTAGAACCTGGCATATCTAACTGAACAAATTTTGCAGAAGGTGTCTCAGTTCATGAGTCGCGCTGTGCGTCTCAATGAAGCATTTTCAGTGGTGAGGCGGGTTCCTATAATACGACCCTCGCTGCCGGCATCTGGGGTAAATCCGTGGCCTGTAATGGGCCTGAGATAGAAAATTCTTGTTGTGAAGTACATAGAAAAAGAAAGTACTTTGTCCATGAACTGTGCTAAAAGTACTAATGTTCTTATGCTACGCTTTGTATCAAAACGATTGTGTCTGTTATGTATTATAACTTTGAAATTTAGAATCTTTTGCATCACTCTGTAAAATGCAGACAAAAATTTCCGTTCAGGTACAAATTTTTACTTCTCTTTTCCTGTTGTCTAGTGTGCTTTCTCGTTTTATCTACATGTTCAGTGTATTTTTCATGCCCGCCGTTGGAAATGCAAAATCACAATGTGTTTGTTATATGATACTAGCTGCCCAGCAATGTGCATCCACCAGACCTTTACCCAAGATTTTGTACACTAACTAATTTGGCAGGGTTTTATTTGTTTATATACGGTGTTACTTTAAACCTTACAAGTGAGCCTATTGGGGATATTGTGAAGATGCAGGAATTATTAGTCCATTGAACATCATTGTCTACTAAGTTCTCATGAGATTTTGGGGAGATAGAGCCACCATAAGTTGATATGTTTCAACTCATATGCTCAAGACTTTCTTTTATTTATTTATTTAAAGGGTTATGTTAGGGAGACCAACTTTAAATACCAACTTGTGTACCATTTCTCTAATAGAGGTGGAGCCCACCAATACAATGGGTCTCACACTCTATTAGAGAGATGGTACACAAGTTGGTATCTAAAGTTGGTCTCCCTAGCATTTTCCTTATTTAAATACAAGTGATATTGGAGGAGGGAGGATCCGAATGCATGACAAGAATGTAGGAGTAATTGCTCTTAATTCTTTGTACCAATACCACCAAAAAATATATTTTATTTTATTTTTACAAGAAATTTGCGGACAGCCTGAAGACAAACCGAAACTGAAACCATGGGCACAGATTAGGTGCACCATCACCATGAAAGGAGGAAGAAATTACAAGCTTAAAAGTTTGTTTACATTATGGAACATGCAAAAGGGTTATCATCACTAAATGCTTGATTAGGGTAAATATGTTGAGTTGAATATTGAGGAGGGTATTGGAATATATATCCCCCTGCTTCTGGGCCTTTCTTATTGTCTTTGCCTTGCCCTTTATCCCCTCCTCCACCTTGTTCTTGCTTCACAATCTCAGCATGCTTCCCCAATTTTTTCTTGATGTGTTCTATCAGCTTTGGGGGATCAACTACTCCCCTCACTGTCACCCTTGAGCTCGCCATATTTGCTTCTACATTTAGAACACCTGATATATACAAACTGAAAAGAAATGAAAATCCATTCTTGTTCATATACAAATTGAAAAGAGAACAAGAGAGAGAGAGAGAGAGAGAGAGAGAGAGAGAGAGATTTTTACCTTTCATTCTCTCCAAGTATTTCTTAACATCATTTGCACAGCCTTGGCAATGCAACAACATTTTGAGCACCACAACTTTCACCTGAGGCTGAGCCTACATTGATTACAAGACCAAAAACGACTAAGAAGACAACAACAATTGACGTGACGATATATAAAATTGGGAAAGTCAATTGTTAAGCATACCGATTCTTTTTTTTCTGGCTCCTTCTTGTCTCTGTTTTCCGGTTTTGGTTTTGGAGATATCAGCTCAGCATTTCTACTACACTTCTTTTGTACTCTCTCCAAAACCTTTAACGGGTCTGCCTTCTTTCCCTTTACAGTCACTTTATGATTTGGATAATCAACTACAACCTCTTCAACACCTAATCAATCAAATCAATCTTAAAAACTCCAAAAATTATATATGCAAGCTCTCAGTCTCAGTATAAAATGAAGGAAAATCTTACCTTCTAAACCTCTCAGGCAATTGGAAACCTTACTTTGGCATCCTTCACAATGCATTAGTACTTTCAACACAATTTCTTTGCCGGAATTAGTATTTCTCTCTGCCATGTTGAAGTTGGGTTGTCAAAAATTCTTGAGGCTGGTAATAGGAGAGTTGTGAAATGAGATGAAAATAAAATTGTATAGCATAATATATATGCATGTGTGATTATGTTTCCTTGCTAGAAAAAATAAAATACCTAATTTGTGATTACATGACTATTGGTAGGTATATTTGGTGTATCTTTCAATTCTATTAATGTAAATATTCCCCTACTCTACTATGCGGTTTAACTCCCAACTAATTGTGGAACCTTTATTTGGCTTCCAAAATGGACCAGTTAATTTCTATTTCAGTTTCATATATAAGAAATCATAATGTTAGTGGTTCTATATAAATTTGGATTTATGAGATAATAAAATGCTTACTAAATTATCAAAAGAAAATTGATAGAATACATGATCTCTAGTTAAAAATAGCTCCTTTAAGCCAACGACGAGGTCTAACCGAGTGGAAAAAGACATTGACTTGCAGCAGTGGTCTCAGGTACGAACTCCATGTCACCTTGGTAGTGTAGTATGGGTATGAGAAGCTCCCCTCCTCCTTCTAACTTAGACTATTGCTTGTATTTTTTATTTTATTTTAAAAGAAAAAAAAAAGAGATTAAACATGGTCCTTTAAGAATAGTCCTTCCAAAGAAAAAAAAAAGGTTACATTATCTCATTTATGGATACTTACTAACTGGGTGATAATAGTCCTCTTTTTTAATAATCGATAATAATCATTTTAAATGCATATGGAAAATCTTTATATTTTTCTAACGCTCAAGTTCTATAAACATTTCCCTAACCGATTTATTACTCTATTAAACCTTAATTTCTATGGCAGCAATACCATTATGATTTCCTCATCTTATTCAATCTGGGTTAGCTTATATGAAACTGAAAATTATAAGTAGGCTCTAGATCCTCTTTGATTGGTCAAATGGTAATTATACAAAAATCATGTACAACCTTGTTTACATCTCACCTCACAACCATCTTAAATCTGGTTTTGATTTTGAAATCAGGCCCTCCTAACAAGTATCGTTTTGTCGAAGTTACGAACGGGGAAGGGGGAAGGGGTAAGGGGGAAACACTCACACACGTGGGTACCATAATAGGGAGGCTCTCACAACAACTATCTTAAATCTCTATGTTGTATCAAATTCACAATTTCTCTGCCAAACTCATAAAACATGAATCTTCAAATCTGTGGCATGTGTAACATTTATTTTTACACCCAGGGTAGAAATGGAAAACTATATTCACAAATAGTGGAGGCAAGTAAAATAATGGAATTAGCATTCTGCACCACTGCAGCTTTAGCAAATGCATCTGCCCTATCAGTCTCCAGTTGCTCAACAAAAGCTAACATAACAACTTTCTATGAGTATCCAAGGTTTAGACTACATTTTAGCCACCACTGATCGGAGGTATTATGGCCAACTCATCCTTGTCTTTAACAATTGCCGACTCAGTTGTGTACTCCTCATTGAGAGCAAGAACCATGCACCCGCGGAGCTCTGTCAGGCCGGGAAACATGGCGATGAGCTTATTTAAACAATCATCGGCACTACTGCCAGTCGACACCTCCAATGGCATCTCACTCAAGCCAGTAAGGTCCCGAGCTCTGGCAAAGAACATCACTTTTATCTTAACAGATGAACCCTCGATTCCCTTAGTTGTAGAGTCCATAGTTACCGTCTTAATCTCTTCTTGGATGCAGTCCATTGCAGAACACCCTGCCACATGAATTAGTTCTTGCGGAACATGTTGCCTGCAACAATAACATCTTCAATTTAAAGACACCAAATACTTCATAAATTTCTAGTTTCTAGAATCTCAGGGCAAAAAACTAACTTGTATGCTTACAAAATGCAAATATCACCACAAAGTCAGTAATCGTAAGAACCCCACTCGACCTGTTGGTGATCGAACAGATAAAAAATTGGTGCTCACAGTTCAGCAAAACTGTAGGGGCAATAGAGCACAACTCACCCAAATACAAGGATTTGGATTTCACTCACCAAAATCAAATCCATCAAATCCATAGTTGACTAATTCGCTCACCTCCCCTACGAATTTCAATCTGGATCGAGCGTACCCAATCGCGGTACGGTATCGATCTGGAACGAAAGATTTAACGACTCAGTTCCAGAGGAGAGAACAGTACCTGATAGATGACGTCGCTGCTACACAACAGTACGTGACCGCCGACAGCAGACGAGCAATCGGGAGAGTGCTATAGCTGATGGGCCCACGTTTGATTCTGTGTCTTGGAAGATATTGGGTTCGGAGAGGATTTTTTTGGACGAATAGATTCCAAGGGGTGGGATGGGTGATAAATGGATAGGCATAAGAGCAGATCCAGCGGACAGCCTAGCCCAGGCAAAAGCCCCCTGTCGCCCAAAATCAGCTGACACCCATCCCATGCAAGGCCCAAGGCAAGATAGCCCGAGTTTCTGCCTGAAGGGTGCTGACGTCAGGCAAAAAAATTGAAAAAAAAATCTGGAAAATTAGCAAAATATTCAAAAAAAAATTATACATACATAGCAAATTTTTATTTATTAATCTCATACATATAAATAATATTAATCTAATATGGATAGTAATTGCCCTAGAGCTACCATAATAATGGGTGAAAAAGCACAAAAAAATTGCTAGAGCATATACTATTTAAGTGAACAATGACCACATTTACTTGCCATTTCTCTTTGCTATGGCAAATGGGTAGAAGTTCTCTAAGGGAGAACATACTAGAGATTGGGTGGGTAGGTGTGTCAATATAATAAGAGCATTGCTTCTGGTTTCAAGAATTCAGTCTCGTTCTCTTGGACTCTATTGTCCAAGGAAAATGCGGTTACCTACCATTGGATATAATCTAAGGGAGAAAAAAATGGTTTAAATATCAATATGTCATCTTTCATTGTACTTTTATTGCAGTAAAATACTATTTTGGTTATTAAAACTACTTTTTTTAAAAAAAAAAAATTAAAAAAGAAGAGTATAATATCATAGATGAAAAAAATGAACAAAAAACTCATCCGTATCTAAGACCGTCGTCATCTCCGATGCCATTGCGGCTATACTATTTTTTGAAAATAACCCGAGCATAGCCGCATGGCTATACTATTTATAGGAAGAAAAAAAAACCCGCTTAGCGATTAGGTGCCCATGTTTCAAAACACGTATAGTCGAGCGGCTATACTATCTTTTTATAATAAAAAAATTATTGTAGTAACGCTGCGCAACTATACTATTTAATAAAAAATAAAGAGTAATGCTACATTTACCACATTATTATCTCACATTTCTATACCATATGATGTGGCATATCCATATCATATAACATATCAATTAAATGAATGAAGTGTATTTTAATAAATAAAATTAGAAAAACAGAAACTAGTATTTTACATGATGTGGTATGTACACATCAGCCGCCACATCATGTGGTATAAAAAATGTGGTAAGACTAATATTATTCAAAAATAAAAATAAAAAGGACCACCGTGTCAAAAATAGTATAGCCACGATGTGATACTATTTTTTATAAAAGAAATACCGTAGTATAGCCGCACGACTATACCTTTTATACCTTGTATTTTTTTTTATTTTTTTTTTAAAGTACCCTCCTAGTTGCATTAGTTTATACTTTATTGATATTAATTGGGTAGTTTCAATATATCCAAAATGGATATTGAAGATAGAGAAATTTCACAGTAAATAAATTTGAGAGTTCAATTTTTGTTTCCTTCATTTTTTTTGTGGGAATGTTTGCCTTTGATCTAACTCGTTCTCTCGAGTGAAACTTGTTGGAGGAACAATAATAAATATTATTCTAATAATTTAATTAAACAATAAATTAAATAATGAAATTAAATATGGCAATAAATTAAAAACTAATTGTTCTTGTAAATAGAGGCTTGCAAAATTGCAATGTCCTTTAAACAAAATTTCACCTCTACTTAATGCTTGTAGTTCTGGAGGCGTTTGCTCCATTAGGATACAACTATCTAAATCAAAGTCCTAGCACTAGGGCTTTGATTTCTGGCGAAATTTTGTGGGTTAATCTATAAGGCTATCCAAGAATGATAATATGAATGTTCTATGCGAATTTGATATAATTCTATAGACCCAGGGCTTGTGTTTAAATAGAGTGGCTCATACATGTTCCAACATGTATCAGATAAGGACAAATTCAATCAGACAAAGATATTATATGATATTTGAATTTTAAAAATAATTTAAATAATTAATTAAATAATCAGGTTTAATTTAAATCACATAGCCCAAGACGTGTACAGAAAACGGGTGTATTATTAAAAAATATGTACGTACGTGTACAATACGAGTATTAAACGTGAAAATGCTAAATTCTTTATATGGGTAATAACTCTAGCAATAAAATAAAAAAAATTAAAGAGGACAATAGAGATTCGGGTAATGGCATAACAATAATGGATAATGCTCTAAACTACTCTTATCGATAAAAGAAAATCATGGGATTTTTTTTATTTAAAGGATTCTAGTAAATATATATATATATATATAAAGAATATACTTTTTTTAAAAAAATAAAAATAAAAATCCGGGTAAAGCCGCGCGGCTATAAAATTTATAGGGGAAAAAAAAGGACCCGCCTAGCAAATATACTATTTTTTTTAAAAAAAAATACCCAGGTAAAGCCGCACGGCTATACGATTTATAGGGAAAAAAGAGACCAGCCTAGCAATTAGGTGCCCACGTTTCAAAACGAGTATAGTCGGGAGTCTATACTGTTATATATATATATATATAATTATTGTAGTAAAGCCACGCGACTATACTATTTTTTAAAAAATAAAAAAAATACCCGAGTATAGCCGGGCGGCTAGGGTTTAGGCTTGTCTTTTGATTAATTTATTAATATATATTAATTAACCATTGACCCAAAGGCCATACCCACAAGCCACTCAATTGGGCCACTTGCATTTCCAATCCAAACTATTATATTTCTAAGGTGTTCCAATGTGGGACTAATTTCAACTCAAACATGTTTACAATGCCTTGTGAAACCAACAAAACTAAATTATGTTACTGCACACATTATTTGTCATAGAGAATTGCATTCTGAGTTGGAGTGTTCTTGGTAATTACTTCACTTTTCAAACAACACTTAATATAAAGAATATTACCACCTCTCTCACTACTATACCCATAAATATTTGATTGAAATTGTTGTTTTGTTTGGCAAATAGATTGCAAAATCAACATCTTGCATTTTTGTTACAACAAGTAAAAACTAATATTTGCCTCTCACATTCTTTAATAGTTAGTAAAATACAGAGCGAAAAAAATACCTATGTATTTTATTCGGCAAAATTTGGCAAATTATAACTAAAAAGTTGGGCAACTATATAATATTTTAATATAATATATTTAAATTTGTTAATATATATTATTTAAATTCAATAATTTGTGAAAATTATGTGAATAATATGTGAATTTTGTGTGTATTATTGAAAATTTTGTAAAAAAACACGTATATTAAACATGAAAAATATGTATGTATGTGAACAATACGAGTATTGTATGTTTGCTTTTTAAAAAACATGTATTTTACCGAGTCTATAAGATATGTACAGAAAACAGATGTATTATTAAAAAATACATATGTACATGTATAATAAGAGTATTAAACGTAAAAATGTTAAATTCCTTATATGGGTAATAACTCTAGCAAAATAAAAAAAATTAAAATAGTGGCTTTCTTGAAATTTGTCATGCTTAATTCGTAGCCATATGAAACCATAAGGCAAATGCAAGACAATGCATGAGAATATTCATCTTTTCCCATCTATGAAGCACAATTTCTTCAACCTCGGGAAAATGTTCGGCATATATTCCACTTGCCGTAATATCTTTTATTTTGCCAAGCATATTATTCATCCTTTCATAAATTTCACATATCTTTTGGCCATCACCATCATCAAATTGTACCACAAGATAAATTGGCTTTGTGAAATCTAATATTGCCTCAACATATTCCCAAAAAGTATCATCTCTCACAAAGAATAAAAAAAAAACAAAAAGTAACCCTAAAAAAAACTAGCCCACCCAATCCCACTCCCATCTCATTGTGCACCTGCAACCGCCTCTCTCTCTCTCTCTCTCTCTCTCTCGTTGTGGGGAGGAGAAGATGAGGCGCTGGGGCAATGATTATCGGGTTGGGAACTAGGAAGTGGGAGACGGAGATAGGTTTTTTTTTTTCCTGTTAATTTTTAGTTTTTAATTTATTTACTATTTTATTTAACTAGACTTTCTTACCCCTATATTTGATGACAATATTGACAAAATGTAACGGTATGACCAATGTGTCGATTGATAAAGAGTTGATAGACCATTTGAATGAATAATTTAGTTGATAGATAAAAATGCAACTCGGGTATAAATTTGAGGACCATTTGAGTAAATAACCATTTAGTATATTAGGGTCACTCTCAATAAAAAAGATCATTTAAAAAAAATAAAATAAAAAATAAAATTTTAAAAAAAGAGACCTGGAAAACTCACAGACCTTCTAGCCCATCATCGTCTGTGTCACTTCCTCCTTAAGTCCCCATTTCCTTTCTTCTGTCTTTCTCATCTCTATCGAATTAGCAGCCTCATTTTACGGACAGACATTGATTTTCACTGCTTCCTCCTAGAGCGCGCGCAGATCTTCTTTACAACACAGCACCTGCCCCACTCCACCTCACTCAGGTATCTTGATTTGGGATAGGTTAGGGTTTTTATACAAGTTCAAGTCCATGGATGTATTGATTTGGGTTTATTTCAGTTACTCTCTTTCAGACCAGAAAAATCCCTAATTTGAGATTCTTCTTAGCCATCTGTTAGTCGACATTGATTTCATTTACACCTTTCTTAAAAACTTTCACTAATAATAAATTTTCTCCTTGTATAAAGAATTGATTTTTATTGTTCTATGTGGTTGGAATGTATGCAGCTTTACTGTCTTTCTTTTATCTTAAAATTTTGTTTTGTGCCTCTGGTGCCCTTCAGACGCATCTTTACTGTTTTTTTCCTTTTCCTAGTAAGTTCCATGTCTGCAAAATCCCAATTACTCTGATTCATTGATCTTTCAGGAACCTAATTTCATTGCCTCAAGGTCTAAGCTTA